AAGTAGATAATCAGGATATATATAGTCAAACTTAATATATTCAAAAAACAAAAAAACGAGTTAGGTTTCACGTGAATACCCATAAAAATCGTTTTACATCTTCACTCATATTCGAACTTGGTGAACTATTCATATATTAAAAGTTGTATTAAAATTGTTCTCTTACATATATTATCTGAAATTCAATATTTACTAGTAGGTGTTGATTTCATTTACCAATAGGGCAATATGATGCTATACATTATCAATAGCATTAATACATTTTATAACTATTGATACTTGTCAAAAAAACTATTCGTCAAGAACACTATATTCTCAATTACTGTGTGTGTAGGGTGTTATAGATACTAATATGTAATGAGAAACGATGGTTTTTTGATTCTGTAAAACTGATCTATGTTAAAAATAGAAGTCATATACACATATGTTGTATTGAAAGGAAATATATTAGATAAATATGAAGATCAATATCAAATATCGCTCTTTGATTATGTAGCTTTTCTTCTTGTCTTTTACATTTAGAGAATTTTGAATGTTTACAAATTTATTCAATTATTTCAAATCTTTGTTTATAAATATTTAGTCAAAAACATGAAATTTCTATAAACAAACCAATCGAATAATCAAAATAAAACTAATCTTTCAATCCAATAGAATATTTTGTATTTAACTTTTAATAGCTGTAAATAATTTATGTGAAAATGATATATTGAAATTATACTTGTCCATAAGTCTATAATAAATATGATAACAGTAACTACAATGAATTCTTTTTTTTTTTAAAGCTATTCGAAGGCAAAATTGAAAGAAAACATGCTTCATAGGAAAACAACAACAATCAAATAGAAATCGACTAGATCAATACAAGCGTGTTACTCAATCTGATTCATTACAAGAACGGATTGCATAATAAACAAGAAAAGTGTGTCTCATTTTTACATGAATAATAATAATAATAAAATCTGTACGAAATAGACATGAAACGACAAAAGAAAAAAAATTGGAACATATAGAAAAAAAAAAAAAAAAAGAAAAGAATTTGTAATCATGTCAAAATAGATTGTTTAATTATGTTGTTACTTCTTTATATTGAATGTTTGATCAATCACTAGTTGAATCACTATTATTGCCAGATGATGAAGGTCCATATACTGGAGAATTTTCACTACCACTTATACCTGTTGCACTATCTTCTGGTTTTATAGCTGGATTTGGAGGTTCAAAATGAGCATATTGTTTAGCAGAATTTTTTTGTTTAACTTTCTCTTGTTTTCTCCAAAGAACAATTTCCTTAAAAAAAAAAAATAACAAAGAGTTTTTAATATAAAAAACAAACAAATAAATACTTGTTGTTTAAAATAACGTCGTTCTTCTTCATCAACTAGAACTAAATTAAGAAAATATCTAACAGAAAATTTTCTTTGAACATCTTTCATTGTTGGTGTTAAATCATAACCACCTAAAAAAAGACGAATTGGAATACTTTCACCTCGAACAGGTGCACCATCCATTATTTCATATTTTGCAATTGTTTCAGTTTCAGCATAAATATTTGGTCCACTACCTGTACTTTCTTTTTTTAAAATTGCTATTTCCATATGTTTTATTTTAATACGAACAAGTAAAAAATAAATTTTTCCAACGATAACATCTTTTAAATGATATCTAAATAAATAAAAAAGAAAAAAAAAAAAAAACAAATTTTTAAAAATAAAAATCAAAAATAAAATTTTTTACTTCGATTTATTATATTCAAATTCAATATGTAAACAATCTTCAATACCAACTTCCATTTTAATACTATTATTTATTTCTGGATATTGTGATAATTGTTGAACACATATGTCACGTTCGCATACTGTATTTGTAAAACGTCTTATAATTGTCAAACGAAGAAAATATCTAAAGTAAAAAGAAAGACAAAAATTTTTTAATTCATTTTTGTTTTTATTTTATGAATACCTCAATTTAACATTAATACCAATATAAGATTCATAGGGTTTTTCAACATTTGGAAAATGAAAATCTTTAAAAATAAATAGAAGAAAAACAAAATCATAAGACAATTATTTTTACCTATGCTTGTATTTTCAGTTAATTCGCCTGGAAAAGCAAGTAACTTTGATAAATTAATAAATTCATGAACTGTACTTCGATCATTTAACATTTCTAAAAAAATTTTTTAATTAGAAAAAAAAATAATTTTTAGTCTTTAATTTAATCCCGAACACTGGTAAATATTAGAAAAGTACATCACCCTACAAGCTGTTAAATTCTATTACTCGGACTGGTTTTTTTTTTGTTGATAGATTCCTTCTTTATAAGACACAGTTCGTTTAATTATCTCGTACTCATTTGTTAATTTTATAAAATAAATTATAAATAATGTTGATTAAAAATTATCATGATTGCAAATAAACCTCAATCGAAGCTTAGTAAATTTCAATTTAAAAAGCATAACATTCAAACTTGCCTTAAATCTAAAATTATGCAAATTTAATTATAAAATAGATTGAGATTGAAACAAGCATTTCATAAGCATATATCTATATCTGATTATATTTTTGCCTAATTTAATATTCTCTCGTAGTATTTTTAACTTTATATTTCTATTCATATGCGAATGTTAAAAATAGAGCACTATCTCTTTAGGTCTCCCCGACCTCACTCAAAAATCGACCTCAGGTCAGATATACTGAAATTACATGAAATTTTCAGTCCTGTACTATGGCCTATGAGAAAGATATCTGTCAAACAAGAATCAAAAAATAGCTCATTTCATCTCCAAAAATTCTTTGTGGTGTTCAGTCTATGTAACTAATATATATTTTTGATTGAAAGAGCATGTCAGAATGCAGTACCTATGAGAGTTCTTTTTTTTTTTTTGTAGAAACTCTTATCTTTCAAGCGGAGACAAGAGCTGATGAGTTCAATTACTCGAAAAACTCTCAAAAAAAAAATGGCACTCTAATGATAAAAGTGCTTGTCAATATAAGAATAACAAAACTTCATTCAAAAAAAAGCTCTTTCAAACAAAAAAAAAGGACTATTAGCTACAATGAAGTTTCTCCAAGACCTCTAGGAGATGCGATCAAAAACTTATAAAATGAGAAAAAACGAAAAAGATTTTTGGTCTTTTTCTAAAAACAGTTTATTTTTCGAATAGGGGATGATGGAAATCTTCAAAAAATTTTAGAAAAAAATGAGATCCCGGGTAAAACTTTTTCTCATTTATAAGAGATCGAATCACGGACTATCTTTCCTTGTATTTATCTTAATTTCGATCATTCTGGTGAAAAGTAAAGTTTTTAAGGAAATTTCGAAGTTAAGTTTTTATTACAGAAAGATGCAGCAAAGCTTTCTCTTTCAGAATATATATGACTTTTTGGAAAATGACCAGATTTTCAAAGACTTATTACATGAAACTTTGACTCTACTACCATATTTTCGAAGAAATTTTCATGGTTTTTAAAGTTTTTCAATTTTGAAAAAACTGCGTTGCCACTTGCATTATCATTGAATAGAACATTTTTATATTAACCAGCATGTCAAATGGCGTTAGTTACCTTCAATCTATTACGTAGTTTAAAACAGTTCACTGGAATATATTTAAAATTTACCATTGTAATATGATTTGTTCTGGATTTAAATGAAAAAAAAAAACATTTCTGAAACTTCTTTAGCATTTTTCTCAAGACACGGTTTCTCAGGCAGGAAAAATTGAAACAATTTCCGCTCAGGTTGGACTATAATCGATGGTTCTTTTGTTTTAAAGGTCTTAGTCAGAGCTAACTTTTCATTGGATGGATTTTTGATACTTGATTCCTTGACTGAGAAAAATGGGATTTACTATCGATCGAATCACCTTTCTTATGCTTGTTTTGAACACCATGTCCATTAAAATGCTCATAGAAAATGAATGGAATGGAATTTCAAAATTCCGTCCGATGAAAAGCTGAGCACAGAGGCTAGCTTTAATTTGAAACCAGCTCAGACTCTGTACCCTTTATAACGACGGACTTATTTCGATTCTCCTGGAAGACAGAAAAACAAGCCGAAAGTTCGGTCTAGTCAAGTATATCAGGCTGAAATTTTTTACCACAGATGTTTCTGACTAGGACCACTCGTTCTTGAAAATTTCAGCTCAAACGATCTGTTCTAAGTGGGAAATCAATTCTAAGGAACCCCCTAAGAAATATAATACTGCCACAAATGTAAGAAAAAGAATTTCGAGATACCGCTAGGCGCGGCCACCGGGTAATCGCACTACTGGCCAAAAAAATTTCTAGTGGTAATTACCCCCCTCCCTCACTATTTAGGAGTTGTCGCCGTTCTGCATACCACTTTCTCCTCAGATTTTAGGCGAGATGCACATCACTTATCCCAAGTGGATTCATTCTATTTACTGACTAGAAATTGAAATACATTTTACATAGAACAAAATCATAGTATCCAATAAAATTAACGTTCTCATTCAAATATTTTCCTCAAATTAGAATGTAAAACTCTAAAAACGACTTCTATCAAAATAGGAGATTTAAGAAAAAAAATCCTATAAATTTTATTAGTAAAACTTTAATACTAACCGATTTGTCCAATAAATTCCAATCGAATTCCTTGATGTTCTACTTTGCTATTTTTCTTTAATTTAATTTGTACCTAGATATTCAACAAATAGAAAATAGATTAGATTTATTTATAATTTCTTTCTTACCGTTCCTCCAACATCTTCACCATCATAATAAATATATTGCAATATACGTTTATTAGTATTATCATCAAGTTTAACTTCAATTTGTTTTCGTTGACCTTGTGGATCAAGTAAAAAATCAATATCAACTTTTGATCCTAAACCTAATAGATCCATTTTAAAATAATCTACAAATAAGAGAAAAAAAAGAAAAATGTCTCCATATTTTCTGATATCTTTTTTTTCTTCTTTACACTACTAGAAAATGACAAATAGAACGAAAAAAAAAGGAAAAGGAGATTTCAAAAGTTTATTGATATGGTACCGCCTTTGCTGAATCATAAGCAAAATCTTTTTTATTTCGAACGTCTGCTATATACTCTTCATATGTAATTGATGGACCATGTTTACTTTCATCATAGTATTTTTGTTGTATAAATTTTCGACCACTATAACCACAATTGTGTACTATGGGTTTATCCTAAATTTATTTAGAAAAACAAAAAAAATCATAGAAAAAATTCTTTATTTCATTGTTTATATCTTACTAAATTAATGTACACTTTAGGATGACCTAAAGGACCACCACTATCCGACCAAACACCACGAGCTTTACAGACAACAACAGGATCATCACGAATAAAATCAATTGCAAATCGAGGATTTACCTTAAGAAAGAAAAAAAGAATTATTTATTCAAATAAAAAACAAAAAAAAACTTTTTTTTTATTCTAAACAAACCAATTTTCCACGATTAACAAATCGAGCATTTCGATAATCATCATGATCATAGACTTGACCAGTATGTGTTGGAGTATCTGCTGGATATAAATCTCGATTAACAGGAAGTGTAACACGTTTTTGATCAACATCTTCTGCTTGTTGATAAACTTTAACAATTTTTTCATTCGATAATTTTGTTTGTGGTGCAAGAGATTTTTTATCCGAATCCGCTGAACTAATTTTTGAAGCTTGTGTTTTAAAAACTGATAGATAACGGCGTGAGCCGTATCGAAAAAATGATAGAGACATCTAAAACAATCTTAATAAATTATCTTTCGTTTTTCTTCTTTTTTTTTTGTTTGTGTTTATAATGATGATGACGATTATATGATATTATTTCATTCGTTTATCTATTAACCAATCAACTTTAACTTGATAAACACAATAAAAGAAAATAAGTTTCAGTCGGACATCTGGTTGAATTTTTTTAAAATATTTGATCAATCTTTTATAAAAAAAAATAATCATACATTTATACTTTCCAATATTTGACTTCCGTCTGTAGACTTTTTATGTTAATGATAAATAAATGACAGAAAAATAAAATTATTGTTCATTATGAACAATAATTAAGGCTTGATTAATTGATAAATGAAAACATATTTATAGTCTAATAGACACTGCAACATATCCATAAATTCTATTAGTAAACATACGCATTTTTTTAATAGTGTTTTACTAAGTTATTAATATACATGTGACAACGCTTAGCTGAATGCATTGATGGATTTCGAGGAGTGGGCGGCGCTGGAAGCGATTGTCTTCGTTCTGAAAAATATTTTTCTCAATTATTCCTAGTAGTAAAGACTTAAAAATAAGCTGGTATTACTTCTAACAAGCTACAAGAGACGTTTTATGATTATGATCGCCCCCGATCATAAAAATCCTAGATTTGTCATTGTCTGAATGACATTGATAATTATTAAATACAGCAATGATAGTTTAATACAATTGTTCTTCTTCTTTGAATCGTTCAAGTAAGTCAAGTGTTATATAATGATACACAATAATAGATAATCAACTATTTCAGTTAATAAAGATTTACAATCTATGATTCATATATGTATATATATATATATATCATTTTATTGTATAGAAACTAAATTATTTTCGTTATCTTGAGTATAATGATTTTCAAAATATCAGAAAAATTCAATACAATTTCTTTTCTACCTATTTTCATTTTAATTTGAATCTAATCTTTTAAAAAGTATTATGTCAATAGTGGTTTTCATTGTAAGTTTATTGATAAATTCATTGAAATAGAAAACTATTTTGCCTAAAACAGAAAAAAACAACGAATTCTCTTGATGTTTTATTGAAATTTCTCATATTTTAGCTCGATCTGGGAAATTATTTTCATGACATTATTAATCGAATTATAATCTGTATAATTTCGATGAACTATATTGAATTATAATCCCATGAGTAATAGTTCGTAAAAATCAACACACTATTTCAAAACAATAAATGCTTGATTGTCATTCATTTTATTATAAATATGACAATCTTCGTTAAGATTATCTTATATAATTTTTGAAGATTTTCTTCAGAATATTATTGATTAGGAATGTTCAAAGAATATATTACCATCTAGTTATTATCATGATGAAATTTATTTGTAAATCATATATTGAAAAATTTAATTTATATTCTTTCACAAATTTATTATTGAACTACTGAAAAGTTAATATTTTGTTCTTAACATATTCGAGACGATATGGATATTGTTTTTCATCATTCGTCAAAGGTTTCGATTCTTTATTCATGGCAGTTGTAATACTTCAAAATCAACTTTTGTCTACGTTACTCTTATAGATATGAGCTATGAATATTCCTTTATCAGTGGTAAAAGAATCAGCTCCTTTGGTCAAAATATGGCATAGATATTCAATTTTTTCTGTGCTAAAGAGACTTTTGGACCATCATGTAGTGAGACCCACCGGTGGGTCTCATCGGGTTGAATGTGTTAATAAAACAAATTCAAGATAATATGGAATCATCATTTGAGAGTAATTTTTTTGAAAGATATTTATAAGAACTAATGAAAATTTAGAAAAAACAAGATATGATTATTTTATCTTCTGAATTATGATGAAGAATTTATTTTGATTATCAAATTTTTTATATCATAAAAAAAACCAATCTAAAAAGAAAATAGGCTTTTTCTTTCATAGATAATTTCTCTAATGTTTACTTTCAATGCTTCATTTTAATATCGACATTGAATTTCTATAAAAGTAAGAGATTGTATTATCAAAATCATATCAAATTTCGCTACTTAAGTAAAACAAACATGTTTATCTACTGTCTTAGTATATAATAAAAGTATGTAGATGAGGGGAAAAAAAAATTATTCTATACTGATTTTTATGAACATTTACAAAGAACCGATATAATTGTTCGTCTTGAAGACGGAAAAAGACTATTGATGTCAAAGAAATTGATCGATCTCAATGATATAATACTGATGAAACATACATAGTTTTTTTTTTTTTTTTTGTATAAAGAAATGATCTAACTACTATTGAATAGACGACTAGTCGATGCTAGAAGGAATACTCAAATGAATAAATATATTAGATCGACAAGAGAATTCGAAGCTTGACATCTTATTTTTCGGGAAAAAAAAAAAAGAAAACTGATCTATATGTGATCATGATAAAGAAAGAAAACAACCGAGATACAGAGAACTCACATGAAACTATTATTTCTCGTGTTCATCGATAAAGTCAATTGACTACATTTACTTCAACAATAGATCAACTTCCGATTATTGACAAAACAAAAAGAAAAATGATTTGCCTGTTATATGTCTTTTTCTTTTGTTTTGTTTTTTTTTGTTATATAAAATAATCATGGATATAATTTCAAAATTTGACAAGAATTTGATCATGTGTGAAGAAATCTTATCTTAATTTTTCTTTTGTAGAAAACAAAAAAAAAAAAAAACGGAAATCAACTGTTGCTTTCAGTAGAAGATACGGAATGGGTGCTCGCAGCCATTATACAAAAATAGATACACAAAAACAATAGACAAAAAGGAAAGAAGGAAAAAAAATTAAAAAGAATTTTTCTCTTTTTTTTTTTTTTGTTTTACATGATTAGACATTTTCGAACTGAAGCTCGATTTGCTGATGGATCAGACGTTGAAATCTTACGTGATCCACTTGAATTTTCATTTGATTGCAATTGTTCAATTGTAGATCGTGAACCTTTTTTGGCATTTATTGTGGACGTACTTGTTGTTGACATAACTGATGTTCGATTCGATTTGTTTCCATGTAAAACAGGTGTTGTAGGTCGTGTTGAAACAGCACCAGCTGTTATTGATTCAGTCATATTTGGACTACTACCACTATTTGTTAATGTTGATAAACTTGAATTTGTTGGTGTTGATCGTTTACCAGCATGTAGAGAAGGAGATGATGATGATGCTAATGTACTACTATTATCTTCAATTAAATGTCCATCTTGATCAACATTAAAATTAAATTGTCTTTTCTTATCTAATTTAAGAAGTTCTTGAAATGCTTCACGTATATTTGTATTTGTTTTAGCTGATGTTTCAATCCATCCACATGACCAAAGTGTTGCAAGTTGTTTACCAAGATTTTCTGTTATTTCACGACATGCAGCTTCATCTAATTTACAACCCATTAATAGAATAGGTGTCTCATTTTGTTGTTCAGCTTTTATTTCACGTATTTGATTATATATGGGTTTTAAATCTTCAAATGTTTGTTTACTTGTTATAGAATAAGCTAATATAAATGCATGTCCTTTTTGTATACTTAATCTTTGCATTGCTGGAAATTGATGTGCACCGGTACTACAAACGGAAAAGAAAATTATTTATTTATTTCAAAAAAAAAAAAAAAAAAAAACTTCAAAATTCAATTAGTAAGATTTTTTTGCTTTTCTTTTTCTTTTGTAATCATACGTGTCAGTTATCTGTAATGTTGTTATTTGTTTATTACAAGAAACAACTTGTCGATATGTATCTTCAACTGTTGGAATATAATTTTCACGAAATTGTCCATTTACAAAACGAAGTACACAATTTGTTTTACCTATTATTTATAATTATTTAAATATAAATAGAATATATGTATTGATCATAATAAACATACCAACTCCAGCACTACCAAAAACAACGATTCGATAGTCTGTACTCTGATCGGGCATAACCCGAAAGGGTGTAGACAAATCTTTATTGGGCTACAATAAATCAAACAAAAAGAAAAACAAATAATAAAAAGAATAAATAACTTATAAATTAATAGACAATAAGAATTTATCTATTAAATTTTCAATAGAGACAACATACTAGATAATAATCTACGCTACATCTCTCAGCTGTCAAGTGTCTCTTTCTTTTTAGACAACAGTCACCATAGAAAATATATGATAAAAAATTAGAAGGAGGAAAAAAGAGTAGGAGGAGTACAAAGCATAACTATTGAATGCTTTCAAACTTAGTCGACTTTTCTTATTTCTTCTCGTTCATATGCATCTTGTCCTTTAGTCTCCATACACGTCATCAACAGTAACAAGCAAGCCGTCACTTTTGTCGTCGTTCTCTAGGGAATATGACAAACTCATGCTTATTCTCTCTTTGATTCAAACAGCACGCAGTTAGAAAACATACAGGTACTCATACTGTTAATTAATCTCTGATATTTTCTATTTTTCTTTCGTCTATATGTAGTTGATATATATATATTTATTTGTCAGATGAATTAGTATTTGTTCTAGTTATATTTTTTTGACAATAGTTAATAAAACAAGAAAATGAGTATGTAGGTGGATGAATTTTACATAGCCGATAATGAGAATGAATTGTGCGTGACGTTTATTTTTTTCTATAAACAAAATATCGATTAGGTTTGAAAATATTTTTCCAAAAAAAAAACAAAAAAAAAGAAATAACAAGATGAAACAGAACAAAAAGAATATTATTCTATTTAATTACAAATCTTCTATATAAATTACTATATGCATTATTCAAATGCAAAATAACAAACAAACATATATATATATATATATATTTAATATTTTAATTAATATGTATATATGTATTCATTTTTTTGGTTTATTTAATTATTGTTCATTTTTTGCTTTTTTTCCAAAACTATATTAAGAAAATTTGTAAATTTGATGAATTACAATTACATATTTAAAATCAGTGTACTGAATGTAAAAAAAAGAAATGACAGATATAAAGAAAGAAAAAAAAAAAGACTAGA